CAGCACGGTGGAAATGTAGATTGGAGGTGCTGGACTGTGAGATGTCTGGTGAGAATCCGTCATAAACCTGGCACGACCTGCTAGGCTTTATTCTTCTCGGGCCTGGGGCCCTGGATGGGCTGGACACAGAGAGCCCTGAAGGCTGCAGGGGAAGGGGGAACCCCAGGGCACAGGCCCGAGGGACTTGGGGGGCAGGTTGGCTTCAGGGGTGACGTTTCCAATATTTAGCACCCCTGGCGCTCCGGCCTTGCTGCTCAGTGTGGCCCCAGAGCTTGATGGAAATGCAGACTCTCAGCCCCACCCCAGAGCTGCTGACGCAGAAGCCGTAACTTAACAAGACCCCGGTGAGCTGTAGGCAGGATGGAGTCTGAGAGGCACTGCTGCAGACCCTGGTAGCAGGAAGGCTGAAGCCCTGGCTGGGAGTGCTTACGAGGCCTGGACCAGGGGGCCGGGGAGAGGGGGTGTGGGGGGAGGCTGGCAAACTCTAAGCAGCTGTCTTTGTTACTACCCTTCCCACCTGCCATGATGGAGCCACCTGCGGGCTGTCCTGCCCTTCCTCACCAGGGCCAACTGCACTTGAACCTTTTCCCCTTGGTTGGCTTTCAAGACAGGTGTCCTGAGATGCTCCAACTAGTTGCCTCACTCCTGGCTGCAGGTGAAACCGCGGGCAGGGAAGTTCTCTGAGACCTGTGAGTGGAGCTGCCCAGAGACTCAGGGTCCCATGGGGGCCTGGGCAGAATGGAGGGCTGTCGAGCCAGGAAGGGCTGGGCGCCCCTGCAAGGAGGTGCCCTGTGAAAGTTTTCCCAGGTGGCTTCCTCTTGGGGCAGGAGGGGTGAGTGCTCAGAAGGAAACTCCTGCGAGCTTCGGGACCCCCAGCTCCTGGGGGTGGGATGGGGGGGAGGGATAGGCAGGGCCTCTGGGACAGTGCACTTTACAGGAGCAAGCATGAACGCAGCAGATGTCCCCAAACCTGGGGCTCAGGGCTGCCAGATACAGAAGGGCTGGAGGAGGGTGCGGGGGCCGGGGGAGGGCTGCGGGGGGCCGGGGCTCCCCCAGCCAGCTCTACAGCACCCGCTCTTCACTTGACAGCGTGGTGATTCTCCGCAGGTTTTCCCTGACTTTAATGAATTCCGGGGCGTGGTCCTCTTCCTTTTCCGGTGGTTTTTCCAGCTGAAGGAGAGAGGGGAGGCGTGAAGTGGGTGGGATTCTGAGGCTCAAAAGCCACTGGGTTTGGACCAAGGGTCCTCTCTGGGGAAACAGAACCAGGGGCCAGTTTTGCCACCAGCCTGGTAGCTGGGGGGACAGATCATGAGACCAAGTTCCCCCTGTGAAGCTTCGTTCAAATTGCTTACCTCATTTGGCCTCAGCTCTCAAATGGGAACGCTACCTGGCTCAAGGGCAGTTGTGATGATGAAATCAGAATCAACACGCAATAGATTGGGCCGATGAGGAAACTGAGGTTCAGGGAGGGGAAGCCACGGGCCCAAAGTCACCCAGCGAAGCGAGTGGCAGAGTGAGGACTCAGGCCAGTGGTGGACTCACGGTCCAGCCCTCATTTTGCTCAACTGGCCAGCTGTGGCCACACGCAGAGCTCTTCCTTGGGCCAACGGGCATGCTTAGGGGACGACGGGCCAGGGCAGCGGGGCTGGTGTCCTCACTCACCTGGTTCAGCCTCTGCTGCCGCCTCAGCAGCTCCTGCTCAAAGGGACACTGTAGCCGCTTGGCCTCCAGCTCCTCCTTCTTCTTCTTGATGATCTGGTTCCGCCTGCGGTGCTCCAGGACGCGCTGCAGCTCGGGCTTGCTGTCCACACCCAGGCCCCTGGGGCGGGGGGAGCCGTCAGGAGACCCCAACTCCCCACCCTCCTGTCTCTCACTACCATTATCTTGTGCAATTCCTCCTGGCAACCCAGGATGTAGCGTGTGGAACCCCCACTGTCCCTTATGCAGAGAAGGGGAGTGAGGCTCCTAAGAGTTCAGACACCGGTCCAAGTCACAGATACGAAGGGGCTGAGTGAGGATTTGCACCCGGTTTATATTATCTCAGGTTAGTTTCTCGGGATATGTTCCTAAGGGTGGAACTGCTGGGTCAGTCTCCTTTAAGAGATTTTGGACGCATTTCCATCTGCCCCTTAGGAAAGATTCTCCAATTTATACTCTGTCCACAGGGTACCAGGGTATCTATTTCTCCCCACCATCACCACCCAACCCTTTTGTATTTGTGAACCTGGTAGGCAAGAAATAACACCTGGTTTTCATTTGTTTCTTTGAATATTAGGATATCCAACAGCCTTTGACTTGTTTACCAGCTATCTGCACTTCCTCCTTTGTGAACTAACTATACCTGCCTTTTGCTAATTTTTTCCTCACGGATTTATGAGAGGTCTGTATATATTAATTTTTGTCTGTTACTTATATTGCAAATATCTCTCTTGATTTGTCTTTAGTTTTTTTTTAAAAACAAACAAACTGTGGTAGTGGTTTTTGGCATTAAAAGGGATGACTCTAAAAGGCAACCAGAGAAATACTTCTGATATACTACGAGGAAAACAAACACCACCACCGATACAAACTTATCTGCGGGAAGGTCCTTTGCACACAGCTGAAAACAAGAATGAGAATCCCAGCCCGCGCCAGTCCTAGAAGTGGCCAGGAGAGGGAGCTGCAGAGGCGCTGACGCCTCCATTCTGGCCCTGGTGAGCCCGGACTGTTTTCCAGGCCTGGGAGTGGACAGAGGCTCAGCTTCCCTCTCCCCTCTCCACATTCCTTCAATTGCGAGTTCTAGCCCTGCCCCAGGCCTGCCTCTCTCACTGCACCCCCAGCCCCCCTGCTCCATTCACGGCCCCTCCAGGGTTGGGACACTCCTGCTTGAGCCCTTTCCCAGGACTGCATGGTTCCTCTGGCCTCCCTCACACTTTATGCTCCAACCACACTGAGTGCTTGGTGTTTCCTGTCCAGTTTCCAGGCTCATCCATCCGCTGGAAACATACCCCATGGAACCACCCATCCTACCCTCTGGCTATGCATCCATCCCCTCTCTAAGGGCAGGAACATTCCTTCGTGAACCCCCAGGGTCTGGCTTAGTGCCTGGCCCATCGTAGGTGCTCAGTACAAGTATGTGGAGGTCAGGCACACAGCGGGTAGCTGGATGGGAGGACAGGGCTTTTGGACCTTCACAGTGTCTGTTGGTCACCATGTGGGGTACCCTCAGCCCTCCTCAAGCTCCCAGGAGCCCCAGGATTACCCCCAGGCCTGCCTTCCACGAGGGGCAGCCCCTCAGGCCCCAGCAGCCTGAGCAGGTGCTAGCCAGGCTGAGGCAGCCGAGCTCCGTCCCCACCTTCTGTGGTTCATGAGCAGCTCTCGGTGCAGCTCCTGATGGCTCCGCGAGGCCTTCACGGGGTTCAGCAGCTTCTTGGGCTTGATGAGCTCTGGGTTCCACTCTCTGTACTCGGGCCGGGCCATCAGGCCACCGATGTCTGCCCGTTCCCTCTGGATCTCTGAGTACATGGAGGCTGTAGAGATGGGGAGGGAGGGAGCTGGTCAGAGCAGGTCACACACTCACCCACCCCCGTGGGCACAGCGAGGGCAAGGGTCTCGGTCGCCTTGGCCACCTGCTACTGTGTGGCTCTGGGCAGGCTAGCTGACTTTCTGAGCCTCAATTTCCTCAACTGTGAGCTGCAAATAACGGAACCTGTGCACAGGGTTGCTGTAAGGGCTGGAGAGGATGTTTGTAAAGTGGGGTATAGAGGTCAAGAGCTACTGGGCCACAAAATATGGGTTGACGTGCAAATGGTTTTAGCCTGACTGTGAAAAAAACACACACTTTCCCTCCTATGAAACGGATTACACTAGAGTTTCTGTTTTTCAATAAGTCCAGAAAAAGAAAAAATAATTATGTAAAAAGAGCAATATGTACTTGTTAAAGACAATTGGAGGAATGCTGTAATGAAAGGGAAATATCACCCCTTATTGTCCAAACTCCCTGTCCATCATTCCGAATGCACCTGTGGAAGTGACCGGCTTTTCTCTCTTTCCAGAGCAGAGAGCAGAGTGTGGAATCCCGAGACTGCTGTGCCTCCGACTACAGAGGGCGGGTTGCCATATGTAAGCAGATGTCTGGCTTCTCGATGGCCTCAGTGCCACCAGAGCAGCCTGAGATTGGTTAACTTGCTTGAAATTCAGGAAGAAGGGCTCCCTCCTCTACACGTTGGCTACATGTCCTTGAAGCGCACAAAAGCAAGTGCAGAGAAAGAGAGAGAGAGAGAGAGAGAGAGAGAGAGAGAGAGATTTCTTAAGGAAAAGTCTCAGGAGGGTGACACAGCCTGGCCCATTAGATGCTAACAGTATTAGAGTGAAAATTTGGGCACTGGCTCTGCCCCCTTCATGAGTCCTGCTTTTCTGAGGTTGAGCCTCTACTACATGCCAGGCACTAGCAGTGTCTGGTCTGGTACATAGTAGACAATTAATATTTGTTGGAAATTGGAAATAGAAACTTTGAGGAAACCAAGGCTCACAGAGGTTGGTCTTGGGGAACCAGCACCTTAAGGCGTGGGGTTTCCATGTGGCCACTGAGCGGGTGTGTCCCCCCCTTCACACACCAGGGTCAGTCCCCTCTCTTGAGGGCCACCGTGTTGGCTTCGGACAGACACTCCCCATTCCCCCCTTATTGGAGCAGGATGAAAGCCATTCTCTGCCTGACGGGTTGTATGGATGAACAGTTCTCCAAGTAATCTAGACAGGGATGGCGGTCTGTGCAAAAACCTGGGAGTGGGTAAGAGCTCAGCGGGGTTGGACACAGCAGGGGTTTGCTGGGCTGTGAATTACAAAGTGACATGCCAGGGAATGAGGCATCAAAGGAGGACGATGCTTTGCAAATGGTGTCACACCAGAAAGGTGTGTGGCATTGCTATCATTGCCCACTGCAGGGTGCTTCTGGGAGGATGAGGAGAGACCCCATTGGTGAAAGTGCTGTGTAAGCTGGGAAAAGTGTTAATTATTATAAGATATTTTGGATGTAGTCAGATTAAGTGTCAGAGCATAGAGACATACTTGCTAATTTTTTTTCTTGAATTCACATCCTCAGAACTGTTTCTAAAACAAGAATTCTAATTAACTTCCTTTCTTCTCTTTTTTCATTAGGCTGTTTTTTTTTTTATTACACTTGACAAAATAAACAGTTGGCTATAGCAATTCCCTCCCTGTTTAGAAATGTGAATATTTTCTTAGCCGATGGGATTAAGTTGTCTAGGAGCCAATGCCTTAGAATACCCTGATTCAGATTGGAGTTTTGGAAGTCACCCCCCTCCCCCATGATGCCTATTCCCGTTACCAAGTCCCATCAATTGTTAATCTGAGTAATTCTCAGCTATATATCCCATGCAGGCCGCTATCACCACACTTCACTCTGCAGCTCCCTTAGCCCCTCTGAGCCTCAAACCTTCCAGTGCTTCATAATTTTAATCAGTCACACCATCTTCACAACAATGAGCGGTATGTAGCCACAGCAATAAGGTAGGACACAGACATAGTTGTATAACTTTAGGAGAAGGCAGAATTACTATTTACATAAGCTATCACTATCTACCCAGAATTCTCAAATGTATGAACAGAAAAGCATTTGGGACTAATGAGAGTTCAATAATGTGGTCAGACACAAAGTAACTACACAAAAGCAAGAGCTCCCACATAACAGGAACGACCGCTGAGAAAGTACACGATAATAGACATTCATTCTGCAATCTGTTTGGGTTCCTATAATTTTCCAGGTTCTGTGGTAGACACGGGCACACCGAGGTGAACTAAGCAAGCAGGGTTCCTGCTCTTACAGGCGGACATCTACTAGGGAGACAGACAGTAAACAGTACACCGACCAATAAAAAGAAACGATTCGGCCGTAACAGGTTTGGCTTAGTGGATAGAGCGTCGGCCTGTGGACTGAAAGGTCCCAGGTTCGATTCCGGTCAAGGGCATGTACCTTGGTTGCCGGCACATCCCCAGTAGGAGGTGTGCAGGAGGCAGCTGATAGATGTTTCTCTCTCATTGATGTTTCTAACTCTCTATCCTTCTCCCTTCCTCTCTGTAAAAAATCAATAAAATATATTTTAAAAAAAGAAAGAAACGATTCGGACTCGCCAGGAGCCTGCTGGTGGAGCCAGAGGGGCTGAGACCAACGGCTGCACCCACCTTCAGCCAGGTGCAGGGGCCGGGCCTCTCTGAGCAGGTGACATTTCAGACCTGACGGGGGCTGTGAGGGGCAGAGGGAGCAGCATGTGTGACTCACGTACCTAGAACAAGCTAGGTCTGTTCAGGGAACAAAAAGGCACAGTGTCCCTGGGATGGCGTGAGCGAGCGACCCGGAGAGTGGCGGGTGGACGGGTGGGTTCAAGTCCGGGAAAGATCGAATCTGATTGGCTTTAAGAAAGGCCATTCTCGCTGCTGTGTGTGGGAAAACTGTCAGCAGGTTTGAAGAATACTTTTATCCGACTTCGTTTTCTTTCACTGCCCGTGGGCGGTCTCTGTCTCTCCCGTTAAATTCCAGAGGAAAACGTCTGATTGGCCAGGCTGAGAACCTTCACCCATAGGGGGCCCACGGCTCGGGTGGGGCCCCGCCCTCAGCGTCTGCGTCTGCGTCTGCGGAGAAGAGGGTTCCCTGCGTTTTCATTTCGCACTGAGCCCTGCAAACTAGGTAGCTAGTCCTGCACCCCAGGTCCAATCAGTGAGCAGCTGTGGCTCAAAGATCTGCTGCAGACATTTTTCTTTTTTTAATGAAATTGTGGTGAGCTGCAGGGTTGGTGCTTCTCGGGGGGCCTGGGTGGTGTGGTGGCTGGGACAGGGATCCTGAAGGATGAGGTTGGTGCTCCAGCCCAGAGTTGCAGGCTGCAAAATCCACTGCCTTTTCCAGTTAGGACGCTGAATTCCCGCAGACAACACGTGTGGGGGCAGGGGCAGGGCTTAGAGGGCTGCTGGGCCTCCGCGTGGAAAAGATTACAAAGATGCTGGAACAAAGGGGCTGCTCAATGAAGTGCTGGTGACTCAAAACATCTGGGCCCCCCGGGGGCCAGCGGGCCTCCTGGGCAGCGGTGGGGCCCTTCCCAGGGCTGCTCTGGCCAGTCTCTCAGGCTGCTGGGTGTCCTGAGAGGTCCAAGACTCTGGGAAGTGACCATAATGGGCAAAGAGGTGAGGTGAGCTGAGCATCAGCTTGTCTCTGAAAAGAGGAAAGGTGGGTGTCCCAGGGGAGAGCTGGAGGGGAGGAAGAGGCAGTCTAGGAGAGAGTTAAGGGGCTAGTGAATACCCTTCGCTGGTTGTAAAGAAAGACAGAATGAGGCTTAGGTGTACGGATGTTGGAGCCAGTAGAACCTGGATTGGGTCTGGCTGACCACCCATCACTTACTGCCTATGGCTGCTTTCCAGGGAAACAGCAGAGCTGAGTAGGAACGGAAGCCGCTCTTGACCAGTAGTCTTCATGAGGTTGTTGCAAAGTGAATGAGGTGATACTTGCAAGGTGCTTACGTGCTGGCTACAGGGCAGCCACACACAGCGAGGCAGGGCACGGCTTCACGCCCCTGGAACTGCACAGTGTGGTCACCTGATAGCCGTTAGCAGTGGCCGCTCATAAATCCCATTCCTAGTCTTGGATTGAGCTTTCTCATCTTCCTTAAAAACTGCACTGGTTACAACAGGGATTTCAACTCTGGCCGCACACGGGCATCACCAGGGGACGTTTGGAAAATACCGATGCCTGAGTCCACCCAGGGATTCTGGCTTAATTAGCCCGGGAGGCAGCCTGGCTTTGGAATTTTAAAGTAGTTCCCCAGGTAATGCCAATCGCCAGCCGACTTTGTAAACCAGGGTTACAAATCAAGCTTCTTCGCTGGGGCCTGAGTGGCTTCAGTCGAGTTGTTGGCCTCGCTGTCGTGGACGCCTGTGAAGCCACAGCTCTTAGCAGCTCTGTGACCTGGATGGGACCCTCCTCTGTGATATCAAGATGCTGTGAAGACTGGATGAGCTGACGTGCGGGGCAGGGGGTAGAGGCAGCCAGGAGGCGACAGCTACATGGAGTGTTTCGCATGACTACACGATGGGCAAATCCCTTAATATGCAGACTGTGGGAAGGACCTCACATTTTGGGTGGGGTAATAATAGGAGGAAAATGGCGCCCATGGAAACCCAGGTCGCAGTTCATCCTGAAAACAGCTGCAGGACCTTGGCTGTCTAGGCTTTACCGTCCCCTTCTTTCACTTGCCTTCCCCTGCTGGAGGTTCTGGCTCCGTCTTTGAAGACATCAATGGTAACAAATGGCACAGGGACCAGAAAAGCAACATGGTTAAGGCAGATGTTTTGGAGGGGACAGACTGGATTTGAATCATGGCCACATCCCTTCCTAGCTGTGTGACTTTAGGCGAATAGCTTAACCTCTCTGAGCCCCTGTACAGTGGGGATAATAGCAATACCTACTCACGGGGCTGTGTGGAGAGTAAAATGATACAATGTGGGTGATGTGGTTGACCCAATGCCTGGCAGTGGTGCTCGCAAGGCAAATTGTGGTTCCCCTGACCCCTGTGGTGAGCATCAGCATTTGAAGAAAGCTCACTCCCTTCCATCTGGACCTCACAATCGCCCTAGGGGGCAGCCAGTGCTACTATTTTATCGTTCCCATTCTGTAGATGAGAAAATCAAGGCTCAGAGAGCTCAAGCTACTTGTCCCAAGATACACAGAATAAATGGCAAAACTGGGACCTGCAGACTCCAACTTCAGTGCTCTTTCTAATCACTCCACTCCTCCAGGCGCACTATCTTTCGGTCTACAAAGTAGGTTTCCATCTCTTTTCTCTCTCTTGATACTCAAGAAACCCCAATGAAGAGGCAGTGTGAGTCCATTTTATAGATGAGGAAATGGAGGCCTGGTACCTGGAGGACATCCAAGCCATACAGAATACCAACTCTGGGCTGGGCAGACAGACTCCACAGGTTGTCTGCCCACGGCCCGGCCTTTGTCTGGGAGGGGACCAGCTGGGGCCTTCCCTCCCTGGGTGTGGGTCAGTCTGCACTCCTCTGCCCTCCCTCCCTCGCCCTTGCTCCTTGTTGCTATTCAAGCAGCTGGGCTCAGCACACACCCACCAGACCTTTGCGCTTCACCATTTCACGAGGTGGAGGGGCAGAGGAGAGAGAGGCTTCCACATGACCGCTGGCAGAGGGGAAAGAGGCCTTCAGTAAAAGTGACCGGCGTGGCCACTGCGTTTCCTAACGCGCCTCGCTTTCCCCCTCCCTGTGGGGAAAGTGCCCGTTTGTATTTCACTGGCCGGTAACCAAAGAACTGAGTATCTGGGAGCCACCTCCAGACCTCCCAGCAGCCCCTGGCCTGGCTGCAGCCTCCCCACCCCATGAGAAAAGGACTCAAAGACGAACTTCCTGAACATTCTGCTCGGGGCCCCTCGGACCTCCCAGGCCCAGGGCTGGCCTGCAAGGCCCTTAGCAAGGCTGGTGGAGAGGCGGTGCGGCTGACCAAGGAACAAAGCAGGCCAGGCGTTCCTGCTGGCCCACCAGGGGCGCGGTGCCACCTCCACCTGGCAGAGACCTCAGGGGAAAGGTCCTGGCTGGAACTTCCCACCAGCAGAGCTAAGTGACTCTCGGGGTCCAAGCCACCGGGAGACACAGGTTTTCTGCCGAAAAGTGACACAGCCAATCCCATAACGCCTGGCTTCTGGCCAATCCCAGACTTCTGGCCTCGTACCGCCAAACGCAAAAGCCAAGTGCACCTGAGAGGCAGGAGGGTGGCACGTCAACGTTGCAGTGAGCCACATACCGTGCTCAGCACCTCACAGCCGCATTTCATGAAGCTCCTAAAACAGACTGAGGAGGTAGGTACTGTCGTCATCCCTTTTTACAGACGAAGAAACTGCGGCCCTGAGGGGCCTTGTGATTTCCCCAGATCACACAGCCAGCAAGCGAAGGCGCCAGAATCGGAGCAGAGCTGTCTGATGCCAGACCTGTGTTCTCTCAGGTGCCACCCTGCAGCCTCCTGTCCGTCAGCGATGCAGAGAAACCGCCACGCTGCTGCTAATGGACGTGGGCGAGTCAGATCCTGTCTAAACTCAGATCCATCTGAGGAAGACAGATCAACGAGAATGGAGGGCTGTATCCGCGTGCTCCCTCCACTTTGTCTCCTATCTGTTCCCCAAGCCCAGAGGCGCCTCCCCATCATCTCACAGATGGGGCATAGCCTGGGTACCTGAGCTTAAATAGCTCCACTCCCCACAGCCCACCGCAGTGCTCTAGGGCTGCCCTCCTGACCCCGTACCTCCTCCTGGCCCAGCACCCAGTTCCCAGCAGGTGAAACAGAAGAGAAATGGTCTTACTTCTCTGCCCAGGTCCTGCGGGAACTCAGACGGTGTTGCTGGCCTCCTCGCTCCACCTAGAAGTCCCAGACAAGCTACAGGGCCGCCTCCTCCACAGGGCGGTTCTTAAACCCCCGGGATCACAGGCCAGGCGGCTGAAATGTGCCAGCAAGTGAGGCAGCTTTGCATTCCTGTTTATTCTGGTATCAATAAAAAGGAACTGTTACTATAGTAACAAGTATTTCACTTGGTGCGCAGCCACTTCCACAACAGTGTTTCGCATGACTACACGATGGGCAAATCCCTTAATATGCAGACTGTGGGAAGGACCTCACATTTTGGGTGGGGTAATAATAGGTCAGAGGAGAGATCGGGAGATTGGCCTTGGTTCTTCCCAGGTTCTGCCGATGACCCGAGAGGTCCCACAGCTCCTCCCCGACAGCTCTGCAGGATGCCAGCCCCAGACCACTAACTGCTCCCCAGTGAGCTCACCAGGCTTCTGGGGCAGGCGGGGCAGCAGTTCCCTCACCTCCCCACAGGGGAGCAACGGAGGAAAATGGCGCCCATGGAAACCCAGGTCGCAGTTCATCCTGAAAACAGCTGCAGGACCTTGGCTGTCTAGGCTTTACCGTCCCCTTCTTTCACTTGCCTTCCCCTGCTGGAGGTTCTGGCTCCGTCTTTGAAGACATCAATGGTAACAAATGGCACAGGGACCAGAAAAGCAACATGGTTAAGGCAGATGTTTTGGAGGGGACAGACTGGATTTGAATCATGGCCACATCCCTTCCTAGCTGTGTGACTTTAGGCGAATAGCTTAACCTCTCTGAGCCCCTGTACAGTGGGGATAATAGCAATACCTACTCACGGGGCTGTGTGGAGAGTAAAATGATACAATGTGGGTGATGTGGTTGACCCAATGCCTGGCAGTGGTGCTCGCAAGGCAAATTGTGGTTCCCCTGACCCCTGTGGTGAGCATCAGCATTTGAAGAAAGCTCACTCCCTTCCATCTGGACCTCACAATCGCCCTAGGGGGCAGCCAGTGCTACTATTTTATCGTTCCCATTCTGTAGATGAGAAAATCAAGGCTCAGAGAGCTCAAGCTACTTGTCCCAAGATACACAGAATAAATGGCAAAACTGGGACCTGCAGACTCCAACTTCAGTGCTCTTTCTAATCACTCCACTCCTCCAGGCGCACTATCTTTCGGTCTACAAAGTAGGTTTCCATCTCTTTTCTCTCTCTTGATACTCAAGAAACCCCAATGAAGAGGCAGTGTGAGTCCATTTTATAGATGAGGAAATGGAGGCCTGGTACCTGGAGGACATCCAAGCCATACAGAATACCAACTCTGGGCTGGGCAGACAGACTCCACAGGTTGTCTGCCCACGGCCCGGCCTTTGTCTGGGAGGGGACCAGCTGGGGCCTTCCCTCCCTGGGTGTGGGTCAGTCTGCACTCCTCTGCCCTCCCTCCCTCGCCCTTGCTCCTTGTTGCTATTCAAGCAGCCGGGCTCAGCACACACCCACCAGACCTTTGCGCTTCACCATTTCACGAGGTGGAGGGGCAGAGGAGAGAGAGGCTTCCACATGACCGCTGGCAGAGGGGAAAGAGGCCTTCAGTAAAAGTGACCGGCGTGGCCACTGCGTTTCCTAACGCGCCTCGCTTTCCCCCTCCCTGTGGGGAAAGTGCCCGTTTGTATTTCACTGGCCGGTAACCAAAGAACTGAGTATCTGGGAGCCACCTCCAGACCTCCCAGCAGCCCCTGGCCTGGCTGCAGCCTCCCCACCCCATGAGAAAAGGACTCAAAGACGAACTTCCTGAACATTCTGCTCGGGGCCCCTCGGACCTCCCAGGCCCAGGGCTGGCCTGCAAGGCCCTTAGCAAGGCTGGTGGAGAGGCGGTGCGGCTGACCAAGGAACAAAGCAGGCCAGGCGTTCCTGCTGGCCCACCAGGGGCGCGGTGCCACCTCCACCTGGCAGAGACCTCAGGGGAAAGGTCCTGGCTGGAACTTCCCACCAGCAGAGCTAAGTGACTCTCGGGGTCCAAGCCACCGGGAGACACAGGTTTTCTGCCGAAAAGTGACACAGCCAATCCCATAACGCCTGGCTTCTGGCCAATCCCAGACTTCTGTCCTCGTACCGCCAAACGCAAAAGCCAAGTGCACCTGAGAGGCAGGAGGGTGGCACGTCAACGTTGCAGTGAGCCACATACCGTGCTCAGCACCTCACAGCCGCATTTCATGAAGCTCCTAAAACAGACTGAGGAGGTAGGTACTGTCGTCATCCCTTTTTACAGACGAAGAAACTGCGGCCCTGAGGGGCCTTGTGATTTCCCCAGATCACACAGCCAGCAAGCGAAGGCGCCAGAATCGGAGCAGAGCTGTCTGATGCCAGACCTGTGTTCTCTCAGGTGCCACCCTGCAGCCTCCTGTCCGTCAGCGATGCAGAGAAACCGCCACGCTGCTGCTAATGGACGTGGGCGAGTCAGATCCTGTCTAAACTCAGATCCATCTGAGGAAGACAGATCAACGAGAATGGAGGGCTGTATCCGCGTGCTCCCTCCACTTTGTCTCCTATCTGTTCCCCAAGCCCAGAGGCGCCTCCCCATCATCTCACAGATGGGGCATAGCCTGGGTACCTGAGCTTAAATAGCTCCACTCCCCACAGCCCACCGCAGTGCTCTAGGGCTGCCCTCCTGACCCCGTACCTCCTCCTGGCCCAGCACCCAGTTCCCAGCAGGTGAAACAGAAGAGAAATGGTCTTACTTCTCTGCCCAGGTCCTGCGGGAACTCAGACGGTGTTGCTGGCCTCCTCGCTCCACCTAGAAGTCCCAGACAAGCTACAGGGCCGCCTCCTCCACAGGGCGGTTCTTAAACCCCCGGGATCACAGGCCAGGCGGCTGAAATGTGCCAGCAAGTGAGGCAGCTTTGCATTCCTGTTTATTCTGGTATCAATAAAAAGGAACTGTTACTATAGTAACAAGTATTTCACTTGGTGCGCAGCCACTTCCACAACGCGGAACACCGTGTCCAGGCCACACGTTTGAGAGACACAAATAAATACCTATTTTGTCAGATTGTTGCAGAATAAGAAACATGCCAAGCTTTGTTCTGAGTGAGGAGGCATTTCCGTTTCTAATGGGAGGGTCGGCAAGAGTGCAGCCAGCACCGCCTGGTGCAAGGGAAGCCGGTTTCCTGCTGGTGCCCGGGGCTCCTGGGTGTGAAGGGACGGGGAACCGCCCTGGGTCAGTTCTTGGCCTCCCACGGGTGGGTCCAAAACTCTCTGCACTTTATTTACTCGGTACCCTGAACTGCGTCTGAACTTCAGATAAGCACCAACAGGACATCGCCCAGGGGAGTGTGGGGGAGTGGAAGCTCAGCCCCCCTGCTCACCGCCCCCCCGCCCCCCGCACCGGGTCAGCCCTGGCCTGGGCACCAGCCCCTTGGCAGGCACTGAGCCTTGGTTTCTGTGTTTGTGGAGAATCACAGGGTGGATGAGAGAAAACACGGATGAGATGACATCAGTGAAAGCATTTAGTCAATGCTCAGCAAATGGGACTTTTCCTGCAGAGAGAACTGGACTCCGTGTGACCTGTGGGAGGGCCCCAGCATGCAGCCGTGGGCCCCGCAGGAAGTGCATGCCACCGTCCTGGCTCAGTGAGCAAACGTGTGGATGCAAAAATAAAGAATGCGTGTCGATGCCAGAGGCCATCCCCTCGCAAGGAAGCTGGCATCTACCAGTTAAACTTGGCCCTCTTCCCACCTTCACTTTCTCAGAAGAGTCTGTCCTCTTTGGCCTCTATCATTCATTTAAACAACATCTGTGAGTCCCTACTATGTTCCTGGCACTGCTCCCTGTGTGCATGAGACAGATGGTAGCTCTGTGCTCAGAGACCCTACATTCAAGGGGGTGGGGGTCAGACAAAAAATAAGGAGCCGAGAAAACGCTGCGCTTCGCTGAATGCTACGATGGGAGTAATTCTGGGTGAGGTGAGAGGGAGGGGCTGGGGCTTGGGAAGCGGGGACCGAGGGGGGTGATGTTTTAGGGAGGGAGGCTGAACGGAGAAGGAGTCACAGCGTGAAGTCTGCCCACCTGGGAGGGCATTGCAGGGAGTAAGACGAGCGAGTGGAAAGGCCCCTGGGGGGGAATGAGCTTGGGGTGATGGAGGCGCGAGGAGGAGGTGGGAAACGGGGCTAGCGAGGGGGCAGGGGCAGGTCAGGCATGTCCCGGGAGCCTGGGCCACGCTGGGCCTGTCGGTGCCACTTAAGGGTCACAGGTTTTCTGGTAGAAAGTAATTTTCTGGAAACAACGAATGTCCCTTTTTGTTTCTTCCTAAATTCTGCTTCTCTTGAGGTACTTTGAGTGGTAGCCACCCCAGCCTTCCACTCTGATGTGGCTTCATTTCACTAAATTCTGACCAGGGGGACAACAGCTAAGTCCTTGTCAGACCACTCCTCTGCCCCTGGTCCCACAAATGGCTATTTATTTGGGCCTTTCCGGGGGCCCACAGTGATTTGTCTGAGCCAATCCCAGTGCCCGCTGACAGCTGGAGCAACACAAGGGGTCCCAGGGCAGGGGGACCGCCGACAGCTTCCGCTCCCACCTGGAGAAGACAGCCCCGGAATCCAGCTCCGTCCAGAGGAGACGCTGACGGTTCCCATGCCAGCTCGCCCTGCGGCCTACTTCGTGTCCCTTTATTGGAAGACGCCAACGGTAGCCCCAGAGCAACCAGAGCCAAGTAGAGTTGGGCGTGAACCCCCCACCCCCTGAGGTTGGGTGCACTTTCCCCACTAAAGCTCCTCTCACGGTTCAACCTGTTACAACCCATCAGGCTTCCCCACGAGACTGCCAGCCTGGGGCAGGGCCTCCCCTATCCTCCTTAGCACGCCTGTCCCAGGCCACGGTGCTCAGCAACAGCACTGACACGCAGACACCCAAGCACTGACTTCCCCGAGCTCCACACAGCACCGTCTTCTGTGTGCGATCGGTGATCGACCGTTTCCCCAGCCACATCCCATCGGGAAGAGAGCAGGCTACACCCCCTAACAGGATGCAGTCCATAGCATGCGCATTTATTGAGCTGAAAAGGTATCCACTTCATGTTTGGTGAAAAAAGCAAACTGCAAAACCACATGTATTATAACTCCCCCCTCCTCTTTCCCCAAAGTCAAAGTTAGTACAGTTGACCCTTGAACAACAAGGGGTTAAGGGCACTGACCCCCTGTGCAGTCAAAAGTCCACGCACAACTTTTGATTCCCCAAAACTAATAGCCTACTGTTGACTGGAAGCCTTGCTGATAACATAAACAGTCAATTAACACATATTTTTGTGTTATATGTATTATATTACGAGCCCAGTGCACGAATTCATGCACCTTGAAAGGAACTGTGGGCTTAGGTTGTGGTGGGCACAGGGGTGGGTCTTGGTCCATCCTCTGCACCCCTGCCTGGCCCCTCCTGCTGCGGTCCCTGGTTCCCTGTCTGCCATCAGTCCTGCTTCTGCTGCTGCTGCCCCCACGCACTGACGGCGTGGGCCCGGCTCACAACCGCTGACAGTGCAGAGCCATTGGGGCTGGCGCCAGCAGTGGGTGCGAGCCGTGCCAGTGCTGTCACGGGTGCAAGTGGCAGCTGCTGCCCCGATCGCCCCTCATGCTCACAACCGCTGACAGTGCAGAGCCATTGGGGCCGGCGCCAGCAGTGGGTGCGAGCTGTGCCAGTGCTGTCAGCGGGTGCAAGTGGCAGCTGCTGCCCCGATCGCCCCTCAGGAGCAAGGGGAAGTGGAGAAGTCCTCAGGGGCAATTGGGGCCAGCAGCCAACTGCTCACACCCGCTGACGGCACTGAGCCATCAGGACTGGCACCAGGTGCGAGCGCTGGGTGGGACGGCGGTAGGTGGGAGCAAAGAATTTTCAGTAACCATCAGAGGCTCACCCCAATGACAGCGACTGGTGGCCTGCTTTGGTCTGGTGCCCCCACTCACCTGCTCCACCAACCTGCCGCAGCCGACGCCTGCCATGTTCCATGCACGCCCCCTGGTGGTCAGTGCACGTCATAGCAGCCGGTTTTTTGGTTGTTCTGCTGTTCAGTCTATTTGCATATTAGGATTTTATATATATAGATAATGTATTCTTACACCTTGAAAGGAACTGTGGGCTGCGAGGATAAATAAATAGGTTAGAGATTTATTACTCTAATAAAGTAGGTTAGAGACAAGAAAGTGCTAGTAAGAAAATCATAAAGAAGAGAAAATACATTTACAGTATTTATTGGAAAAATTTTCCTATAGGGGACCTGTGCTGTTCAAACCTATCTTGCTCAAGGGTCAACTGCATATACATGGAGAACCAACCTGGATGCAGATACCCTAACTAACCTACTAACGGAGGTCAGTTCTAGATCAATGTATCTTGAACATCATTGCTAGACGTCACTTAGAAGGAGGGGTGAAGTGGAATTACTGGGCCATTGCTGTATTAGAACCTATGAGGGAGGGGCCTAGGAGTCTGGATTTATATTTGGGACTTTGAGAACCACGATTCCATGGCATAAAATGACAAGCTCTTCTCCTTTGTCACTATGTTTTTGTAGTGTTTGTAGCTTAAAAAAGACAAGTAAGCATAGATTTCTTTTGCTGTCAGAAAAAAGTAATAAAGAGAAGAAACATGAAAAAGAGCAACCTTTTCCAACTAACTGTAGCTATGGTTCACATCTGGTTCAGCCATGTCGGAAAGTAGGGCCTTCTGGGAAAATGAACCTTTCAGCCGGTTACTCCAGGTACCGGCCGAACTCAGCCCCAGGTGCTGCCTCCTGCCTCGGTCGGTGTGGCTTTCCCCGAGGCCTCCCCACTCTGGGGACCGCTGACGGCACTGAGCCATCAGGACTGGCACCAGGTGCGAGCGCTGGGTGGGACGGCGGTAGGTGGGAGCAAAGAATTTTCAGTAACCATCAGAGGCTCACCCCAATGACAGCGACTGGTGGCCCGCTTTGGTCTGGTGCCCCCACTCACCTGCTCCACCAACCCGCCGCAGCCGACACCTGCCATGTTCCATGCACGCCCCCTGGTGGTCAGTGCACGTCATAGCAGCCGGTTTTTCGGTTGTTCTGCTGTTCAGTCTATTTGCATATTAGGATTTTATATATATAGATAATGTATTCTTACACCTTGAAAGGAACTGTGGGCTGCGAGGATAAATAAATAGGTTAGAGATTTATTACTCTAATAAAGTAGGTTAGAGACAAGAAAGTGCTAGTAAGAAAATCATAAAGAAGAGAAAATACATTTACAGTATTTATTGGAAAAATTTTCCTATAGGGGACCTGTGCTGTTCAAACCTATCTTGCTCAAGGGTCAACTGCATATACATGGAGAACCAACCTGGATGCAGATACCCTAACTAACCTACTAACGGAGGTCAGTTCTAGATCAATGTATCTTGAACATCATTGCTAGACGTCACTTAGAAGGAGGGGTGAAGTGGAATTACTGGGCCATTGCTGTATTAGAACCTATGAGGGAGGGGCCTAGGAGTCTGGATTTATATTTGGGACTTTGAGAACCACGATTCCATGGCATAAAATGACAAGCTCTTCTCCTTTGTCACTATGTTTTTGTAGTGTTTGTAGCTTAAAAAAGACAAGTAAGCATAGATTTCTTTTGCTGTCAGAAAAAAGTAATAAAGAGAAGAAACATGAAAAAGAGCAACCTTTTCCAACTAACTGTAGCTATGGTTCACATCTGGTTCAGCCATGTCGGAAAGTAGGGCCTTCTGGGAAAATGAACCTTTCAGCCGGTTACTCCAGGTACCGGCTGAACTCAGCCCCAGGTGCTGCCTCCTGCCTCGGTCGGTGTGGCTTTCCCCGAGGCCTCCCCACTCTGGGGATCAGATTCAATCCATGGCCTGAAGGGGATCCCAGTGCTGAGCACATCCCTCCCACATGTC